TTTTTTTTTTTTTTTTTTGCTGGTTATATCGATGCAGTTACTGTTGCTGTTCAGAGTAAAAGCCTGTTTACCTCTATGGGTCAATGGCGGTTTTGGATGAAAGGTATCAGATAAACTTTAAGATATGTTTAATGCGTTTTTTCGTTAGTATCTTTTCATTGTACTTTTGTCGGTTGTTTATATAAAAAGGGTTTTTAAAATTAAATAATTATACTCAGTTTTGTGCATATCATTTGTTGTTCAGATTGACTGCGACACCCTGTGCACTATTCAAATACTGAAGTTAGAAAAAGCTAAAACAATAATTTTTTCTTTCGCAATGAACAGCAAATTTTGCTTTGCTGTAATGGTGATTAATAAGAAAAAATGCATTTGTCAGAAATATTTCGGTGAACTTTCAAGCTGTCTATTAGATGTTTTAAATTTGTGAATGGTTTGCTGCTGTAGCAGCGATAGAGAATTTTGCAGTTTGAATGATTTCGTGAGACTCGGTAAAGATATCGGCATTGGAAGAATATAAGAAATGACAGAAAAAAAATTTGTTTTTTCCCTTTAAAAAGTTTCTGATGTGTCAGCAGTTTTACTCCAAAAAAAAAAAATGCGAGGTAAAAAATTCTTAGCTTTTTTAGTATTTTTCGTGTTTGGCTTTTCTTTGCATTTCATTCTATTTTTAACTGTTGTTTTTTTATGTCATAGCTTTAAAAAAATGTGTTTGCAATCGATGGAGAAGCAAAATTTCGTTATATCTGCGAGAAAAAATCAATTTTTTAATTTGTTATCTAGCCGTAATCATCATAGACGATAGTGCCTTACGCTTTGTTACCAACTGAATACATAGTAAAATTTCCGAATTTCAACCAAAAATGAAGCTGGACAAAGAATTCAATATTTGAATCTATTGATGTCCAAAAACAAAAATAAGAAATATTCAAGCTTGTTAAAACAAAAAAACAAAAATTATAAACAAATGAAAATGCTATTATTGTTAAGCAGACCATGCTCCTAATTGTTTATCTTAGTCAGTGGTTGTCAAAACACCGTGGAAAACTAAGTCAAGAAACAAGACTCAGGAAACCAGGTTCAATAAGTTCAAAAAAAAAAAAAACGTTTTTAATTTTTGCTTTTATTTTCGAGAACTGAGATATTATTTGACACGCAGCATAAAAAAGAAAACTATCAAAATTGGTCCTGAAATAAACAGATACGATACGGTATATATTATCAAACTCAGTCTGTCTGATCAACTTGTTTGCGTTAACTCTTGAAAAGTATGTTGCATCAAGCAGCAAATTAATTAAAAGTTGGTCAAATTTATTACCGATGCCGTTCTTTTTGTCATTCAAATATAAAGTAAGTGTTAACATAAAAAACCCGTCAAGATAGTTGCACCAAAGCTCTTAACTTTATGGACTGTTTGTTTAGGTTTTAGCACTTCTGTGACAATATTTAAATGCAAAATTCTGTAAACATTGGTTATAAAAAACTAGGAAAAAGTAGTTTATTTGTTTAAAAGTTCAAAAATTTATTTATTTTTTATACCGTTATTCAGTAGCAAATGTTTTGTTGTTATTGGTGGTGGCAGTGATAATGCATAAAACTACTGAATGCGAGTATTTAGATTACTTTTTTTCGACTGCAGCCTTATTTTTGTTTGCAGTATAAAGAAAGATAGAGTTGCCGTTAATGCACAGTATTAATTTGGTTATTTTGTATGCCTTTGACAAGTAAACTTCCTTTGACACTTTTTTATTCAAATACTTTTAGACGGTGCAGTAAGTTAAACTCGACAGAAGTTTGAACCAGAGGAAATCAAGAAGTTTACGCAGTAACAAAAAAGTTTGAAACAACCAAATACATTTCAAAAAGAACACTAAACATTATGACTAGAAGAAAAAAAAATAAGCGTTAGAATTCTGATCGCCCTTCTGCAAATAAAAAAATCAACTAACTTTTATTCCTGAAAATGCATAGAGTGTCACAGTTCGCAACTACTGAGTAAACTGGTGAAAACAGAAGAGAGTACAGTAACTGAAACATTGTCCTTAGCTTAAACAGATTCCGACTTCAAACTTAAACTTATTTTTTGTTATAAAAATACTGTATTTTAGTTATTATAATTATACACCAATAGTTAAATATTACTCAGTATTTACAATTACCAAAGAAGTGTTTCTCAATTGTCATTAATACTTTCTTGAACTGATATAAAGAAATTGTTTAGCAAAGCACTTCTCATGCTAGGCTAGTCTTAAAATATTTTGATAAACTGCAGTTGCTATAATTAATTTTTTTTTGTTGCTGCTGAAAATATGCATAATATAGTAAAAATATGACAAAAAAAATTTTGAAAATAGTTTCAAAAGACAAACACTGATATATACAGTGCAATAAATATGGCAGTAGCAAATAAGTAACTGTTGTACAAACGTTAAATTGACAATTGTAGGACAAAAAGCTATTAAAACGTAAGTAAATAATCAGCTGTTGGAAAGCAAACATTTTCAGAAAGTTCAATAATAAGTTTTAAGTAAAAAAATGTTTTAATTTATTTATTTCAATAAAATTGCAACAAAAATCAAAGAAAGCAAGGATTTTTTTGTTTTGTAACGTTATAAAGTTTTTCAGTATTATTGCTTGGCAAACATTTTTTATTTATTTTTAACACAGCACAGTTTTTTTTGGCTAAACTTCGTCATTTGTTGCAGAAATTTTCAAGATTTTAAAACTATCGGATTATTCTTCCCATTCTTTGCATTAAAACCTTTCTAACATTTATTCAACCACTTTACGTTTCTATACGTTTAGCCTTTTTTCTTTTTTCCTTTTTTTTTTACGTTATTCGTCGTCTGTTATCACTTACAAATTTCACCGGGTAACTTTAAGTCAAAAAAGAATAAAAAAACTTGACTGGTTTTATGCTTATACGCATTTAATGTTTTACAGAATAAAAATTTTTTGATTGTATTAATTTTTTACAGTTTATTAATTTTGCTGGTAAATAACAGCACCTAAAAATAATACAAATCTGTTTTAGTTTCTGTTTTTGAAGTTTTTATCCAAAACGACTAGTGATATTTAATCTTCGACTTTTTTTTTATTGAGTCGCTGTAACCAGAAAATACATTTTAACTAAAATTTTTTGATTTTCTTTAATAAAATCTGTAAACAAAAATTTTTTTTTGCTAGGAAATTTTCTGTAGAATTATGTAATCTCCGAGCAACTAAACATTGAAAACAAAAACTGTATCCTCTTTTCTCGTAACATATATAAAAAATTTGGCTTAGAATGATAATTTTGCTTAGTTGCATTCTAATTTTCAAATTTCATAAATTTTTTTGAATCAAAGAAAGATATTTGACAAACAACGCAATTTTTCTGCATTAGCAAAATAATTGCCGTCTGCTGACCTTCGGATACTTCGGTTAATTTCTTCTAACTTAATG